GGGCCTGGGGATCCAGGAAGAGCTCAAGCTGCTAAGTACTGAGCAGTGTAACTGACACTGTAAGTCAATGCAGTGTGGGTGTGGTGACTCTGGGGTTTAGCAGCCAGGTCTGATTTTGAAACCTGGCTTTACCATGTGTTAGCCGTGTGAGTTTGAGAAAGCAGCTAAACCTCTCAGGGTCTCAGTTTCCTTATTTCTAAAATTAGCAGTAATAATGTAAAGGTCTAATGTAAAGTTGGTCAATTAATGTATTACTGATGTACACATGCACTACCCTGAAGAAGCTGTGGTTGTGTAGTGTGATATGGGTCAGGCTGCTAACTGAAAGGTCAGTGGTTTGAATCCACTGAGTGTCCCAAAGGAGAAATATGGGCAGCATCCTCCCATAAAGATGTACAGTCTTGAAAACCCCATGAAAGGTCACATGAGTCGAAATCGACTTGACTGCAGTGGTTAGGCACGACTGTAAGAATACTGGGGGGAGAATCACTGGACGGGAGGGAGGCCTCAGGGTGCAAATAGCTAAATGCATTCAGCTGCTAACCCAGAGGCTGGAAGTTCAAATTCACTTAGAGAAACATCAGAAAAAAAAGCCTGGCCACTGAAAATCCTAAGGAGGGAGGAGTGCAATCTGGAGGGTAGCCATGAGTCAAAATCAACTTGATGGGAACTGGTTATGTGGGGCTGGGGCAGGGAGGCAGAGAAGAGAAAAGCTACTAAAACAGCAGGAGCAGAATGAATGAGATGTCAGGCTCCCCGGGAAGGGTACAGCAAGCGCAGGGCAAAGGCCCAGAGGCATTCCTGCATCCAGGCCATGAGACAGGGCCGTCAGTATGGGTGGAAGAGGGGCAGCTGAGGTGCAGAGGCGGCTGGGGGCCCACACCCAGGGTCACACGGCCTAACAGGCAGGCAGATCCCCGCCTCTGCGGGCAGTCATGGAAAGTGGGAGAGAATGTTTCTTGGTCATGACATTAAGCAACATTAAATCATGTGGTGAAAAATTAGTCCAGTTTCAATTCTCCTTCCGTCTTCTGACTCAATCAAAGAGAAATCTCTAAAACACCTCCTCAAAGTCTTTCCACAGGCAACTGGAACTACCAAGAACACTAAGTTAACATTGCTAGGTTTTTGCTTTTATGACTATCTTCTATTCAGAGCAAGTGATCTTGGCTTTCCACTTACGAAGATGATAGAAAATGTCTTTTAAAAATACATTTAAATGACAGATATTCAGGAAATGATGCTGCAGGCACTATGAAGTCACTCAAACTCAGCCAGGGTGGGTCAGGGACAACTCAGGGTCCTGGAGAAGTAACTCTAGCAGAAAGGGGAGCCAAAATGGGAGACCAGGGTGGAAAGACTAGTCAGCAGAGTCCTGAGCAGATCTAACTGGAAAATGAGGTGGGCCTGTCCCAGGAAGTGGGCTTCAGAAGGCTATTCGGGGGGACTTCCTTCCTGATGGAGACCAGGACCAGGGATTGTGATTTGCTGTGTGGCAGCAGAGGAGACAGGCTATAGCAGTGTTTAGATAAACATCTGTCCCTTGGATTTGAGAGTCTCTATTATTTTCCATCAGACTGGAAGCATCCAGGGAGCTATGTTCTCATTACCTACAGAGTACCTGAACTCTCTGTGGCCTCAGGTGCTCCAAGGACACAGCCAATAGCTGACAGACAGGCCAGGATCAGACAAAGAAGGGTGACCCACCATCCCAGTCTGCCTTGATTCCCCAGGAAGCAGGACTTTCAATGCTACAACTGGTACAGTCCTAGGCAAACTGGGTCCAGTTAGTTACCCTCCCTCAGACAGTCTGTGTAGGGTGGGGACCCTGGGCCAGACACTTTATTGGTTGGAGCAGTTAGTCTCTGGGGAAGAAATGAGACGCCTACACTCTTTGCAATGGACCCAGGCCCTCAGGACCTGCTTTGTGTGTGCAATACCACCCACCTCAGAGCTAACCCCTGATCTTGTTAAAGAGGCCCAGAGACCTCAGTACTTTTCAAAAAACATCCATTTCACTCTGGTTAGAAGCCTCCTGACCACTCTCCAAAACGTTTCCTGCTCAAGTCTGAGGATCCCAAATCTGCAAAGATGGCATTTTTGAGGCTCAGCAACTTTTCTAAAAGGAAAGTCAAAGGCCCTAGCCTTCAGAGCCCTACACATTTGATTCCACTTTGCCCTTCCAACCACAATTACCCTCTGAAGTATACCTTTTGTTACAGCCAAATGGCCTGCTGAGTGCTCCACGCATGTTCCTCTTCCTCCTACTTGTCCCCTCTCCCTTGGATTCCACCTGCCTGCACACATCTTATCAGCCTGCATTCCATCCACACTTCAGGGTTCCACAACCATTTCTTCCCAGTGTTTTAGGAGAAGCACACAGGTGACTCCTTCAATCCTACTCAGAAGCCTGACCTCATTTATGTCAGGCCACAAAGCCATTTTTGTGTTCCTCTCCCACTGCCATCAGAACTCAGCATACAAAAAAAAAAAAAAAAAAGAACTCAGCATACAGAATTAACACATAAATGAACAAATTATAATAATACCTGAGAGAAGTTCCAAATTTTTCTCAACAAATCACCTCTGCACAGCAAGGAAGGTGTCAAAGGGGCTCAGGTATTCTTTAGTTACTCATTCATCCCTTTAACCAAGAGTCCTGAGCTTTCCACGCGGCAGATAAGGTGAACCTGACACGTGTCCACACCCTCTCAGCGCAGCGGGAAGGCAGGCAAATGCCACACACACTGCTCTGTCCATGTCACAGCACTGTCATGCTCTGGGGACACTACAAGAAACAATGAGAGACCCAACTAAATGGAAAAACATTCCCTGTTCACAGACAGGAAGACGCAACATAATGAATATGACAATCCTACCAAAAGCAGGTTCAATGCAATCTCAATACAGATAACAAACTCATTTTTCAAAGACATAGAAAAGGCTACTGGTAGGTTTATTTGGAAAGGAAAGAGACTCTGGATAAGCAAAGATCTTCTGAAAAATAAAAATGCACTCCTTGATCTCAAAATAAACTACTCAGTCACAGTAACTAAAACAGCAAGGTATTGACCAAAGGAATAGAATTAAGAACCCAGAAATTAACCCATCGAACTATTGTTAATTCATATTTAACAAGGAATCAAAACCTATTAAATGAGGAAATGACAATCTTAAAAAAGGTGCTCTGGGGATGTGTGACAGAGGTCCTGGCCCAACTAGGATCATAGAGACACCCAGAGAGAGGGTCACTAAAAACAAGACATAAGGCTGAACAGGGCATGGCCACGATGTAATGTATTACGGACATGGCCCTGCCACCATGTCAGGAGAAAGCAAGGGGCTTAGGAAGCACATTTCTATCTACTCCTATGTTCTCTGCCTTGGGGATCACCTGCCTCAGTTTCCTCATAACAGGAAACAGGTTAACAGGTTACTCTCTCCAGAATGTTGTGAGGATTTGCAGGGATAACAGGTAAAGAGTAATGAGGGCTTGGTCAAACTCCCCAAATATGGGGATTATTGTGGTTATTATTCCCCAAACAGCTCAAAGGACTCTAGAGAATCCCAGGCAGCCAGGCTTCAGCCTGGGCTGAGCTAGGAGGTAATTCCACCTCCTGATTAGCCTTGACCTGAAGGGGAGGGGGGGGGGGAACAGAGCTGCTGCCTAAGCCATCTCAGTTGCCAGGCAGACCATCCCAGGTCAGACCGAGGGACTCTCAAAGGGCAGAATCAGGGAGGTCAAGAAGCCTAGAAGTGCGAAGGGGAAGGAAGCTGGCTAGAAGGGAAAGGAAGAGAGCAACTGAGGGTGTGGTAGAAAGCAGGCCTGGACAGAGGAATGAGACAAAGAACAGTCAGAGGTAGGAGAGAACATCCTCTCCCTCCCACCCGCCTGAGCTCTGGAGAATTAATGAGACGATTTCCTGTGACGGATGCAGCAGAGCTCTGACATTTACAGGCCTCTGGATCTCTTCAGGGCAGCTGGATTTGTTTAAAAGCCTGTCTGAAAGCCACTCTGTTAGGGGGAGGAGTCAACCACCGTCCGGAAACCCCCAAGGTGTGCAAACACCCACATCACTTCTCTGCAGGAAGGAGCCAGGGTGGAGCAAACTAAGATTAGGGCTCTGGCTTCGTTGCCCCACCACCCAGGAGAATGCACACAACCGTCTGGGAGGAAGTGAGGATCACTGGCAGACCACACTGGTCTTCCTACCCAACCCATTCCCCACTCCAGGTATTTGCTTTTATTGTATCTTCTGCTTAAAGTACTCTGTTGTGTAAGGTAGGGCCTTATACCACTAGCCTCACCACAACACTCAGGGCTCATAACAACTGTCACCAACTCCTACAGGCCTAGAAAAGTCCCTGGCACATGTCTGATAACTGAACGAATAAGTGTTTAAAGAGCAGGGTCTCTGGTTAGACTGCCTGGGGTCTCATCTGGCTTTTCTACTTACAGTATGAGTGTGGACCATTTCTGTAACCTCCCTGTAAAATGACAATAACAACAGTTCCTACCTCAGGTGTACTGGAGGATTAAATGAGCCCAAAGGAGATCTGATGGTGCAATGGTTAAGCACTTGGCAGATAAACAAAAGGCTAGCTGTTTGAACTCGCCCAGTGGTTCTGCTCCCATAAAGATTACAGCCAAGAAGACCCTCTGGGGCTGTTTTACTGCGTCCCATATGGTTGCTATAAACTGAAATAAATTTGATGGCCTCTAACAAGAAATGAGATCACACATGTAAAACTTTGGCTGATACCCAGCGAGCACCCAGCACGTGGCTGCTGCCATCATGATCTTTACTTGTTAATAGTTGTTGCTTATTTATTTGCTCACTTGTTTTCCATCTGTTCTTTTCATTCCATTGTTACAGCCTATTTTGCTCACTACTTTACCCCAATTCCTAGCACAGCTGGGAAGAGAAAATCAGGCTTCTTCCTCCAAGGGCAGGTGGAGGTGGGGAGATGTAACTTTGGCTGGAAGTAGGGAGCCTCACCTATTTGTTTCTCCAGGGCGGCTGCCTCACAGACAGTGGCCCGGGGCAGGATCCCAGGGTCAGTGAAACTTGTCTGCAGCAAGCAGCTCATGACGAAGAAGAAGAGGACGGCAGCAATGATGGGGATGGCGAGGGTCAGGTTCTTGGCCAGGAAGGGACAGCTAGAACAAGAGATGGAGAAACAGGTCAGCAAATACCCAACAGATCACTACAGGACAGGGCTTCTCCTCCCAGCAACCACCACCACGTTCTTGACCACAGCCTCTCCCAGAGGCTAAGCTTCAATCCCCTGGTGAACACTGTCACTCCCCCCCCCCCCCCCCGCCCCCACAAGTGCAGGCAGCAGGCATCACTAACTAACTGATCCTTACATTTTTCCAGTCCAGAACAGATGTGATAGTAAATTACAGCACTCTTAACACCTATACTTAGCTGCCACTTTAGAATCCTTCTAAACACAGTGTATCAGGCAGCCATTGCCAATTAATTGGACTAGCTCTTGAGATGAACCATCCTTGGCACTGTTCATTCACTCATTCACACTACAAATATTTCTACACAGATTATGTGCTGGGCAACACCTTCAATAAACAGTGCAAATAATGACAGCAAATAAGAGTTCCTCCTTAGTGCATCTCATAGTCTGGGGGGGGGGGTGGTGGGAAGAGAAATAAACAAGGAATTGTCACACAAAGTGACACTTGCTGTAACAGGGGGAAGGTGAAGCAGACTGTGGACCAACCAATGGTGCTATAATTCGGAGAGAGAGGTAATGGGATAGTCAGCAAAAGCTTGCTGGAGATAATGCCTACTAATATCCAAAGAATGAGTAAGGGTCACTGGAGTGATGGGAGGAAGAGGAGGGACCAGTCACTGTCACTGCCACCTAAGGACTGATGTTCCCACTAGGTCTGGTAAGCTCGTTGGTGGCCTTGGTTGGCTTGGAGAAATAGCTTGTCTGCTGGACAGTTACATCTCTTCTACTACCATGCAGGCTGTTTGCCACAGGAACCACACCTCTTCAATTTAGGGCTAGACCACTCCAGAAGTCTTGGGACACTGATCTGTGTCTCTCTCATGGCCACTGAGTCACAACCAACACACAGATGTCATTCACTGGGTTTCAGAGGCTGTAAAGAGCATGGAAGGAGACTGTCCATCTTTTTGCCCTCAGAGTATCTGGTGGCTTTGAACCACCAGCGAGGAGTGACTTTTGAGTTAGCAGCACAACTCCCCATAAACTATACCACCAGAGCTCCTGGTAGGGGCATTGATTTATGATAGATTTAATTAAATTCCTCTTTTCTGTCACCACCCTACTACAGTCCAGAAAGCTGTCTTTTGGAAATACTAGTAAGTTCATGTCATTTCCATGCTTAGTATCTTTCAGTGCTTTGCATTGTATCTGCAATACAATTCAAACTTCCTACCATGACCTTCGAAGCCAGCTATGACCCAATCTATACCAAAGGCTCTTCCAACCTCATTCTACACAATTCTTCTCTTATCCTGCTGCTGTCACCCTGGCCTCGTGGCCATACTGAAATCAGTCCAGTTCTTTCTCACCTCAGGGATTTTGCACTGTGGTTCTTTCTTTCTGAATGCTCTTTCTTCATCAGAAAGACCTTCCCTGACAACTCTTCAAAGGTGGCCTCTCCAAAATGTTCCCCCATAAGCGCTTTTTCTTTCCTGAACAACATTACAAATTTCAATTACTTACTTGCTTGTTTATGTGCTGGCTATGTCTCCCCTACTAGAACGTAAGTTCTCTGGGGGTAAACATGCACTCCTCTTCACTATTATATTCCAGAATCCTGCATAGTACCTGGCACCAAGATGCCCAACAGGAAACTGTTATGTGAATGTAGTTTTTCCTTGGTGTCAGGGGACCGAAAAATAGCTAACATCTTTGCAAGGTTTACTGTGTGCCAGGTACTGTCCTAATTAATAAATCATTACTAGTAATAATATGAAGCATAGAATAGTTACTATATGCCAGGTACTATGCCAAATACTTCCTAGGTGCCTTCTCATCAAATCCTTACAAAACCCTCTGAGGCACATTCCCTACCACTTTAGAGATGAGGAAACTGAAGCTCAAAAAGCTTCTATAACCTGCCCAAGGTCATGCAGCTCAGGAGTGCTGGAGGGTGGATTCGTGCTAAGTCTGAATTCTGGATCACACTGTTAACCTCCATCCTATGCTGCGTTTCTTCCTAGAGCCAGGGTGGCACTTGATGGGGCTGAGGTCCAGGAACCTCTTGTACCAGTGGCAAGGCCTAAAGACTGGCATAGTAATAGGGTATAATCCAGGCACATCCAGTGGAGGGCCCTGTGGGCACCCAGGCATGGTTTCTGGAGCCTCCAGAGACACATTCCCTAAGGAGCAGGTGCAGCCAAAGGCTTCACACGACCATGCTTTGTTCCACATATCTCTAACAGTATCAGCAGTGTCACCACACAGCAGCTCATCTGGTTCATGTACAATCAGAATTTTTGAAAGGCAGAAGAGACTTGAAATCTGAGACAAGCAGCAGCCAGCAGATCTTATGCTCTGATCACACAGAGGAAGATGCTGGGTACAGCCAGATCCAAGGTCTCCCAGAGAGACAATGTCAAGATCGAGGTGTTTGAGTTCCCAGCATATGTTCTGTCCATTCACTCACTCACAAATATTTAATTTATTGAGTATCTATTAAATTCCAGGCACTGTTCAAGGTACTCAGGACATAGTAATGAACAAAACCAAGCCCTGTTCTCATGGAGAAAGACAAGCAAGAAACAAGTATACATATAGGACCTCAGCTGGTGACAAGCACTCTGGGACACAATAAATCAATTTAGAAGGAATAAGAGAAAGGAGGGTGCTTTGCTATTTTATGGAGCAACTAAACCACATGGTTCAAATCTATCTACCAGCTGCTCCAAGAAAGAAAAGGGGCAATTTACTTCCGTGAGATTTACAGCCTCAGAAAACCTGCTGGAGGGTCAGCTATGAGTCAGTTGTGACTCAAGAGCACTTACCATCAACACAACTTAAAAAAGAGTATTCTCAACTGTGAGTACAAAGGCCCTGGGATAGGAATATACAAAGACCAATGTGGCTGGAGGGGAACGGGCTGGGTTGAGTGGGGAAGACAGTGGTAAAAAGGGAATAGGGCCAAAGGCATCTTACTGAGGGAGGGGGGAGATGAAAAGCCAAGAAGGATTTGGGTCTAACTTAGAATTAAAGGAACACCCTGGACGCTGTGTGGGGCTAGAAAGTTGGGCAGAAGCTTCATGCTCTGTCTGATAATCCATCCAACAATTAAGCAAAACCATTCATAGCAGGAATGGCCACCTGCACCTTCTTCCAGAGCAGGGGGGCGGGCTGGGGGGCTGGGGGAGGATCTGAACATCTGTCCAGCTGCCCTGCCCTCAAACAGTAGCATTCCCACCATGCCAGATTCTGCTGAGGGTTCACGATCATCCAAACCCAGCTGAGCACTTGTGGCTCAAACTCAAGCCCTTTTTTCAAATCCACCTCCCCAACTGAGGAAGAGCAGAGACAAAGGCAAGATTATTCACAGCTCTCCCAGAATCCTTGTTTCCTCCCACTTCTGGGAACAATTCTGTCACGAGCGAAGAACCCACTCAGCCCAGAAGGTCTTGCTCCTGAAGGGACTGTATCCCACGCTGCAGGATCCTAGGGGCCCAACCACAGCAAGTACCACTTCCTCCTACTTCGCCATATCCCTGCACCTCCTCATTCAGAAATGAGGATCCTGGACAACAGCTCTTCTAAACCCCTATGTGGGTGGCTGGGGAAGGTGGATCTGAAATTCAGCCCAAGGATCTTGCTGGAGGCTGGGAGTTCCCCAGTTTCTGCTTGTCCAATCATCCCTGAACGCTTCACCCATCCTGACTTGGAAAACAAGGACAAATGTTTGGCAAAAGGGCGAGAGAGAAAAGTTAATTCATAGAAGTCCTCACCATGTTTTAAGGGGAGAGTCGAGACTGAAGATACGATACAAGGCAGTTGCCTTGTGTTTTGTGCATCTGGCTGGTGTATCTGCGGTAGTCTTAACTTCACTACATGCCCTTGAGACATATTCTTTTGTGAAGACAAACTAATAACAGCAGTCAGGAGTAAGAGCTTGTTACTAGACTGAGAGCCACCTTCGTGACAACCTTAGAAAGCAAGTACTTCCATAAACCCCAGTCCACAAATGAGACTCCCCAAAGTCTATTACTACTACTGTTAGTGAATAGTGGGGCTAGAATCAGAACCATGTATGTTCACTCCCACAAGAGAGTTCGTGACCATGCTGTAGAACTGAGGAAGGCAGACACACACAGACACACACACACACACACACACACACACACAGACACACACACGGAACAACAGGAAGGGGCTGATGGGATTCATGCAGCACAGGGGCTGAGGTGTGTTTGTGTGTATAAGAAAGTACACGTAACGCGGCTCAAAACAGCGACAAGGTGGAGCAGAAAAACTTCCAACTCTAAGGTAGGATCCTGGTAAAGCAATAAATCCACTTCTCCATCCTTAAAAGGTGATACTGCCCACAAGTGGACCAATTCTGGATCACAGGATATAAGAAGAGGTTAGTAACCTATAGGGACTAATACAGCCATGTTACAGGAAAGCACTCTGGCCTCTTTCTTGGCAAATCGCAAGGTCCTGCAGCTGTTCCTCATGTAGACAGACCAGAAGGATGCTTCAGAATTTTGAGAAAGGAAGAAAGAAAGGTGTGGGGACAATGGCTTGGGGTATGTCTAAGGGGATCAAGGGATCTGAGGGGAGAAGAGGAACTCTGGAGAAAGTAAGAAGCACTGTGGAGGGAATGCCTTAGGCAAGAATAACTGAAGGGAAATCTGGTATTAAGGAGGGTCTGAGACAGAAGGAAGGGATCGTGGAAGGAGACAGGGAGATGGTTATGAAATTATAGCCAAAGGACAAGAGAGCAATTCAGCAGCTGTCTGGAATAGACATTTTTTAAAAAGAAAAAGAAAAAATTGGGAACTAGCAAGAGAGGGACCAGTGAGAAAGAGGAGCCATAGAATCTGGAAGGCAGATTCTGAGAGGGCATCGGGGCTAGTGGGTCATGCAGGGCTGTAGAGGGTTAGTGTTCCGGGCAGGGGCAGGCAAAAGCAGGGTGCCAGGCTAGAGAGCCTGGGAGGCAAAGAGGGGCGGAGACCAAGAGTGGCCGAAGGGCACAAGAGTAGAGGGGTAGAAGTGGGAAAGGTGGATAGCCCAGGAAGGATGGAGTGCGCGGCAGGGGACCACCGGTGATACAGAGCGCAGGGCGCGGACAGAGGACGAAGCCGTGCCCAGCAGAGGGGGGGAGGGGAGCAGAATGGGCAGGCCGGCCGGGGCAGGGGGAGCCCTAGAAGATGGGGCGGCTGAGAGGGGCGGGGCGCTGCCGAACTCACTCGAAGACGAAGAAGAGGACGGTGGTGGTGAGGATGAGCAGCAACGTGAGCACGAAGACGCCGCCGTGACCCGCCAGCATGAGGCGGCCACCGCAGTAGAAGCGGTTGCGCCCCGGGAACACCTCCCACTTGCGCCGAGGGCGGTGGCCGAGGCTCCCGCTGCCGCTGCTGCTCCA